TCAAAACCATCAGTCATGGAATTAGCCGTTAAAACGTTGTATCTTCTAAAAACATCAGTCATGGAAGTAGTCGTTAAAACGTTGTATATTCTAAAAACATCAGTCATGGAAGTAGCCGTTAAAACGTTGTATCTTCTAAAAACTTTGAGTTTTCGCCTGTCGAAACTATGACAAGCCTGGTTTATTTCTGTTTTTGTCACCCCAAACGCACAAATTTCCTTCCAACGCTTCTGTATACAGCTTTGAATTGAGGTGTCGTTAGAAAGATAATTTTTCTTGTATATGTCGTCAAATATGAAAAATGTTTGATTGTAGAAGTGGTTTAAAACTGTCACGTTGGAGAAGTATAATTTTCTAGTTAGGGACTTTATATACCGATAACTTTGTAAAGTAAAATCTTGTACATCCAATGCAAACAATTCCTTCAATGGCAGTTGTCTGTATTCCTTCAATTCTGAAGATCATAAAAGGTGTTACAAATAACCTACACTGTATATTTGTTATACTATGAACCAACTACACAAGTAATGTATTGAAACTGTGCAAGGCTTACAATTTGGTTTGTGTGGAATTAGAAAAAGGTTCGCCGCTGTTTTTGTATTGTTTAAGGTAAAAGTGTTCAAGACTATGTTTGCGTGGACGGGTGTGCTTCAGCAATCTCAAGGATCAAGGGAAAAATATTTATTACTCAGCAATCCTTCACATGTAGATATGTATATGCACAAAAAAAAACAACTCTAAGATACAATAAACACGTGTGTAAGCCACTGCGAATACACACACACACACACACACACACACACACACACACACACTTTATTATCTCATACGGACCTTACAGCTGTATGTTACCCAATGGAACTCATGGTAGGAGCTTGAAGGTAACGGACCAGCTGTAGGTAGGCGTAGTTATGTTTAGTAGAGCACAACGGTGGCCTGTGAACCTACTTCGTTTACTGTGTCTTTTTAGATTTCTTTGATCACTTACTGAAGCAAGGAACAATATCCTTGCGACGTTTCGCACTGCAGCTCGAGCGTTACAAGTCTATAGGAATTCTACTTTGTCCTTCACTTTATCCGGCATCCCCCACCCCACGTGGGCAACCTTCAAACAGACATGGTTCGTCTAGTTTTCTACAAACAGGACCTGGTTCACGCATCACAGTTTGATGACAACGTCTAGGAAGGGTCGGAGAAACTATGTCTTATGTTGGCAACACGTTTATGATGAGCTTGATGGTGGGAGAAGGTGACTGATGAGATAAAATTTCACCGTATGCCATTTACACACGATAACAGTTCCATATTCAAAGCTTGTTTTCCCTCATTTTACTATTTACCCATTGAATTTCTACAGTAACATCGGTTACTTTGTTTCATTTTGAAAGTTTACTCCCGTTTGTGAACCATTATACTGTGACCTTTATACTTACCCAGCCCAGGGAAACACACACACTAAAACGTATCGTCTTTGTGGGCTGTAATAGGACTTTAGCATAAAGATAAACGAAACAAACCAATATTACTCGAAAGCCATGAAAATCGAGACGATTACACGTGAATTCAGCGAATTGGTAGATAGGTTATTGAAGATAGGATCTACAAGCCACAATGGATTCAACTATTAAAGTATGTGTATGGGAATTGAAAAAGAGGACGTGCCAAGTACATCTCTATGGTAAACAAGGGGTTAATTAATGCCTTGTTTCTTTGTTTACCGTGTTAGGTATCTAATCTCGAAGTGATATATTAGAGGGAAGGCAACTAGTCAACACCACCCACCGCTAACTCTTAGGCAACACTTGACCAACGAAAAGTCACATTATAGAGCCCCCACGACTGAACATGTACGGTGACGGGAATCGAACTAGCGACCCCACACATCGTGAGTCGAGCACCCTAACCACTAGACCATACCAGCCCTAATTAATGCTAAGAAGTGAGCGATAGTTTGTCATTAGTCACCGTAATGTGTAAATAAATATTGCAAAGAGCGATAACCCGAATTATTCTGTATTATATATTTTTCTTTTCATAATTATTTTTACCACAACTTCTTGAAGTTTTATTTTTTAATATATTTCGTCATGGCTTTCACAGCAACGCAGAAATAAGTATCTGATGCGTTCATGATGTTTATGCACACTGGTGAGTATTAGTGTCAGGTGTTACTTTAGCATGTGAAATAGAAGTGGGTTGTATGTGAATAACATGCTCCCGTTGGTCCATAGGTGGAGAAGAAGAAAAAGGTAACCAGATGTTTGTGTGTGTTGATTACTAGAATCAAGTTGAGTCATGCCTGCCTGTTAATGTAAAGCATTATTTAGTCACGTTTTACTCATTACCTTCACTGTAAACTTTTATCAAGGCGAGTTTAATGGTATGGGGGCATTGAAGGTGGTGGTAGCACACAGCGCAGTCGTGGATAATAGAGGGAAAAGTCATGTAAAAGTGTTAGAACGAAAGATAGTCGCCATTCAGTTATGGTCACTCATATCCCATAGGTTTGTTTTAAAAATACAATAATATTTGTCAATAGTAAGACATTGTTGATTACTGTAAAACGGGTAACTGTTTAGGAATTATTTTAGATATGTTGCTATCCTCTCAACAGATGGGGCCACTAGAAAAATCAGCGAAAATATTTATATTTATTGTGTGATAACTCTACCAATAAATGTACACACTAAAGAGTAGACATTTTATAATGGGCCATGCACAGTTGTTAACGTGTTGTAAGTTATTTTTGGCTGTTTCATAATGCTGTATTAAAATTTTTTCAAAGTCTGTAATTCCTGGTTCCTTGTTTTCAGTGCGTTAAAAGTTGTGGTTTGTCATAACCACGATAACCCATTAGATGCGGCAAAGGGATTTTAATGATATCCTCGTGTGTACAATAAACACCGAAACATTAAGATTGCTAAAAATATATTTTGTTATTGTAGAATTCAAGAAGAGTATGCAGAACAATGGGGTATGAAAAAAAAAAATCGTTATTTGTTTACCTTTGTTTTGCCGTGGTGAGGTCGTGAATGACGGCGCTCAGTAGGAGTGACAGCGAGGCGTTGGATGGGTGACCTATGCTCTTGATATAAATTTACTAGCGTTTAGCACGACTTA